ATGTATATATATATATATATTTGAAATAATGATGATGATTTTAACGTGGTGGTTTGTAGGTTGTTTGGTCAACCACACCCATCACAATACTCTGATTTGGGTGGCAGGTGTAGATCAAATGCAAATGAGATATCCCTGAAGTTTTGTTCTGCATCCAAGTATTCAAAGTAACCGTTGTCACCAGGTACACTCACTTCAACACACAAGTCCTCTCCTAACAGCCCAACATGCCCCTCCCACACGCTGCTTTAAACACTCAAGCTATTCTACTGATATTGTAAATCTAAATAGATTGAATGTTAGGGCCCTCTTCTCACTGACAGTAAGTTTTATGCATTTCTCAACCAACTCAACCCATGGCTTGTCTCTCCAGAAACTACTCCCAGGACTTAATTTGAGCCGGATCCTGCTGGAACAGGATCCAGGGGCTCTCCTATTTTGGCAGGGTGTGTTCTGGTAACTGTTTGCTTGGATCCGGTAACTTTCAGGCTTACTAATAATAAAGTTATGAACACATTTGACTGCTTTGAATTAATAAAACCTATATTGGACATGTAATCTGAAAATAATTACATAAACACTCATTTTAAACATAATAGCCACTTCCAACATTTTTTCAGTCAGGTCATCTGGACAGTTTCTTTTTTTGTGCTGAAATGTTTTGCCTTCGATCCAGAAGGCTTCATCAGTCATGGAAACACACAACAAAAAACTGATTCTTCCCCCAACAGTTTACTCCAAAGTGAAACAAACCAGTTCTGCTTGTGATAAGATGGTCTCTTTGGTAAGCCCCTCCTCCATTGCCGGCCCTCTTCCTTGTTGACAGTCTTGTCAAACTGCAAAGACCATCTTATCACAAGCAGAACTGGTTTGTTCCACTTTGGAGTAAGCTGTTGGAGGAAGAATCAGTTTTGTTGCGTGTTTCCTTGACTGATGAAGCCTTCTGGATCGAAGGCGAAACGTTTCAGCACAAAAAAATAAACTGTCCAGATGACCTGACTGAAAAGTGTTGGATTTTATACCTGGATTATTGAGCATGGACTTTGTTATAATAGCCACTTACGAGCTTCATAACATCACATCAGAGCTGTCCCTTCAAGTAAACATTTCCACTTCTACCTTTAAAAAAATCTCTGTCCCTGGGGGTGTGGGGTTAGAATGCTTGCGAGAAGCAGAGACTGCTCAATCCACACAAGGAGAGCTGTTGGTCAGGCTACTTCTTGTTGCTCTCTCAAATAGTTATTGAATCAAGTGTTTACAAAAGTAGGTAAATGTAGATGTTTAACAACCCGTTAAAATAAACCAGAATGCAGGAAATGGCATCTAACTTATTCAAAATTTTCTGGGAGAGGACCCCCCCCCAACCCCCTACCCCCTCTAACTTGTGTTCCGGCATCATACGGTTTACAAATTAAGCACTGCCCACTCCCTATTAAAAAAAACAGTTTCTCTTAAATTACATTAGCAGCAGGTCAAATGTCCTCCTATTCAGGTCTTCATGCAAAGAACAAAGCTGTTTAACAAGTAGCTTAAAAATATTGTAGTGACGCTTTCAGCTGGAGTTTAAAGTTTGTTGAAGTAGACCAAAATAAAAACTCTGGCTGTTCTCCAGAGTTTTATAACTAAATATGATGGAGCCTACACCTGGTTGTTTTGGGAATCCCTTTTTCCCACGACAGACGATGCTCTGGAGAACATTCCTCCACCTTAGTTTCTCTGTTGGTGCTGAATAAAAACCATGAAATGATCATATTAAGATTAAAAGTGGTATTTGTGAAAACAAGTCTTCGTACTGCATGCATGATGAAAATCAGTTGGTGAATAGATTATCTGAGCATGCACCTCTTTGTTCATCTTGTTTCTCCAGGTTGGTGATGCCCACTGTCCGGGGTTTCCTGGTGCTTCTTCCTTCTCTGCAGATTGTGTGGAACAGCCTGATGGACACGTTTGTAACGCCGCTTTTCCACAGCGTGGGAAAAGTCTCGTCCTCCATCCGAGTTCAAATGACAGAAAACTGATGCAGACCGCTCTCGCTCCCACAGGAAGAAGGGACGTAACGTAGGAAAGAGTCGAGGGGATGAAACAAGCTGGAAAGATTCATGTGGAACACACGAGTCTTCATTAAAATATAAAACGCAGAAAACAAAGTGAAGACCATCATAAATGTTCAGGTCTTTACTTTAAGTTTACGTGTTGCTACAAACGGTTTAGTTCTCTGCAACATTTGTCCGAAGGGTGAGCGTTTGTTTGAAGGTTGAGGTTTCTATTTTATTTTATGAGCATTTAAATGCTTATTTCTTGTGTATTACGGGGATTTAAAAGATGTGAGTGTTTGTGTGACACATTTATGGACGTGTGTTTGGACAACGCTGACTAAATGATGGACGCCTCTTGGGCAGCCATCTTCCAACCCAAACTGGAAGCGAACACGAGTCACGTCTGCAACATGGACCTTCTGTGATCAGGAAAAATAGATGCCAGTTTGATGCAAAAGCAACATGATGTAAAAATTCAGTGGAGAATAAAACTCTACTGACTCTGGGATTTTCATTATAAAGTTTATGTAGACGATAAAATCTGTATTATTGATGGAGCCCTGATCAGAAACGTTGTGAACTTTCCATCATGGATGTCCTCTTTGCTGACTGATCATAAATATTTCTCACAAACCCAATTAGGTGGAGGGAATTTAACAATTACAGTTGATATAAAATGGCCTATAAATGACCAAATGAAGCGTTTTGAGTGTTTCTGGTGAACAGCCTTACAAGACACATCATGTTTAACTCTTTACAAAGAGCTCATGTGCACCCCAACACGCTGTTTGTAACCGACCTGCTGACAGATGTAATATTTCTGCTTTATGAAGATGTCCTGTATATGTTGCATGTTAAGTTAAATGTAATGACGTTAGAGTATTTATGTGATTGGTAAATGCTAAGATGCAGCTAGTTGCACATTTGCAGGCTTCTGTAACCCTATCTGCTGAGTTGATGTCACAGCACGTGTTTTATCTGCAGCTTGCTACAACTGAAGTCAAACAGAAGACCTGGAGTTCGGATCTCTTGACTGATAACACAAGTGGACTTTGCTTTAGGATGATGAAGGCATTTTTTACATGTTGGGTGTTGATTGCGTCAAGCTTTGACTGATGAGACTTTGGAAATTAAAAAAGGTTTTATTGTGTGCTGTAGTGCTGCAAGTCATTTGCTCGGGTACGTTTCATCCATCAAGAGGTATCGGAGCAAACAGGACTTTAGCTCTTTGTAGCTGGAGTTCATACGACGTTAGATCCTCTGCACAGCCGACACGTTCAGTCTAGAGAAAATTAACAAATGTTAAGACCTGGATGTTTGTTTCGTGCTGTCAGTGGTTCATCATAGTGTTTGTATTGTGTCCAACATCTGATGACATCATACAAACCTACCACTACCATTTCTGTTCTGCTGGACTCGGATAAAGTGAACAACGTTCTCCAGACACCTCAACGTAATCACGGAGTTGTCCTGTTTGCTGCTGTGTTGCTAAATGTTTGCTAACAGAAGATGCTAAAGGTGCTGCATGGGCAGATGGAGCCCTGATCAGAAACTAGATGCTGAACAGCATTTGCCAACAGGAATGTCTCGAGCTACTCGTGGGGATCTCGCAGTTTCCTTGCTGGTGTCACAGAAGCTGCAGTCCTGACGGAAATTTGAAAATGCTCTCCCAAAATGGTCACGGTCATCGTGGGTCTCTTCAACCTTTCCCCACTTTGTTGTGAGTCTCTTTAGTTCATCTAAATATCTCGAGACGTGTTTACCACCAGCTCCACTCTGTTGGAAACACGTCCAGGTCTAAAACACTAACACGATAAATGATCACCATTAACGAGCAGAACACCCCCATCGCTGACGGATTTCAATAGTGAGTGTAGTTCTGGAGATGTGGGGTTTTTTTGGATGGAAATTGAACAGGGAGTGTAAGTAAACCTTAATGTTTTTACCACAGGATCTTCAGGTGGGGAGAAGCTACACTTCATGTGCAGAAGAACAGAGGTTTTATTTCCTTGTCTGAGGCAGAGCAGAGTGATGGATCCTGGAGAGTCCAGTGAAACCGATTATCCACCAGCAGGGGCAGTGGAGGAGCCAGGGGGTGGCCAGTGGTGGCCTGGGCCACAACATAATGATCTTCAATCTGGCTTTCTTGTGTGACCGTCACTGGTTGGGTCCGGTTAACAACAACCGTGTCTGGTGATGCTAACCAGCAGTGTGTCAGCTGGACCTGGACTTGGAGGTGAGCCACTGAGGCGATAAAGACCAGAAAGACTCCACTTGATTGAATTATAAACGTGGAGTCGATCCCAAGGTGGGTACGGAGCGCTGAGGTGGATATGATGCAAAAACAAATCATGTGGATTATGTAGAATATAGTTTGGCAAGATGTGAACATGAAAACAAATCATTTAAAACACTCCACACATCGTCTGCGTGCACAGGTCACTTGTTTGCAAAAAGAGAATCCGTGAGACTTCAACAGGAAAATGTGTTTTGTTGCTAAATTAAGTTCCTTTTAATTCACTTTATATTCCCCAACAGTCACAATTAAAGGCGAGCGCCTTCAGTATTTGTGCAACCTTAAATTTGTTTTTCAGTTCTCGGCTGTGGCTGAGTGGTTAGATCAGCCGTCCACCAGTGAGAGAGTTGGGGGTTCGACTCCACCAGCAGTCACATACTGAAGTGTCCCTGAGCAAGACACTGAACCCCTGATTGCCTCCGATGTGCGTCCCATCGCTGTATGAACGTGTGTGGAGGTCAATGAGGTCACAGGTTTTGTTGTAAAGATCTTTGAGGTAAACGAGTTGTTTCTTTGATCTTTACCAGGTTTTGAAGATGGTGAAAAACGAATGTAGCAATCTTTAATTCAGCAGCACCGTGTAACATTTATAACTTTAAAACATGAACAACAAAGTCCATACTCAATAATCCAGGTATCAAACCCAACATTTTTCATTCAGGTCATCTTGTCCAGATGACCTGAATGAAAAATGTTGGATTGTGTACCTGGATTATTGAGCATGGACTTTGTTGATTTCAACCAGTTTGACAAGACTGTCAACAAGGAAGAGGAGGAGGGGGTGTACCACAGAGACCATCTTATCACAAGCAGAACTGCTTTGTTCCACTTTGGAGTAAACTGTTGGGGGAAGAATCAGTTTTGTTGTGTGTTTCCTTGACTGATGAAGTCTTCTGGATCGAAGGCGAAACATTTCAGCACAAAAAAAGAAACTGTCCAGATGAGCTGACTGAAAAATGTTGGGTTTAAAACATAAACTTTTCATTTCTCTGTTATTTATTGTTCACACAACATTTCATGTAAATCTACAGTATCTAAAAATAAAAGATGATCTGAGTTTTGAGGAATGTTGTTTAATTCACATGGTTTCACTTTAACAGGAAGTGTCTGTTCTTCACAATCTTCCCCGACGATGGATCTTTGTGTGATTGGTCTCCAGTTTCTAACGATCACTTCGGCTGATGTGCAGCTGAATACCAAACAGGTTTCATACTTCGGCTGTCAGAGCTGCCTCAACGAGCTGTGGGTGGATGGAAGGCCACCCGAGGGCCTGCAGGCCCCGTCGGCTCGCTGCTGTAAATCCTGCTTCAGCTGAAGGTTTTTGTCATCTTCTCTGCTTTATGGTTGGAAATTCTTCTCGTTATCTTGAGCGCTGATCGCTCTGAGTGCTTCGCTTGTCTTTCTTCAGAAGATTCATTCATGAAGTGCCTAACGCCGCTTGGTACCAACATTTTAAACCATTTTTAACTGAGAGCATCTTATGGAAGAAACAGAAAAAACACAAAAACACGTACAAATCCTAAGATTGGTGTTGTGCAAGATCTTTAGAAAATGTTGCGCTCTTGCTTATGATCTGTCAGCACTCAGAGTTCGTGTTGCAGAGGACGCTCAGCTACCACCACACCAGGTCTCAGCTCACAATCTCTGACGTTGACCAACTTATAGCAAAAGTTAATTAGCTGTGGCAGCCATCTTGAACTGAGCTGACTAGTTGAACATCCATCGATTAATCTGAGCGTTTCAGTAAAATGGTCCGTTAGATATTTTACTGACAGATTCATACAGTAATTGCCAAAGACTTAAACTATCATGATCCGTGGGCCTTCACAGTATGTGTTGGGGATCATGAAGTAGCTCTGGATGTAAAACTGAGTTATTTTTGTGTTTTCTTTGGCCAGTTGGCTGTGGCAGCCATCTTGAAATGATGACTCTAAAATTAGTTTTAAATGTCCCCCTAGTGATTGCTCTATGAACATTTCAATAAAAGCCATCCAGTGGTTCATGATATTTTGCTAACAGAGTTGAGTTAATGTCAAAATTAAAAACAAAACCAGATACTAACACCAGCGTTTAACTCAATATCTGTACAACTGACTGAATTACAGCCGTTTTGAGTTTGCCAAGATTGTTCAGCTGTGGCGGCCATCTTGAATTGGCTTGATATAAAGTTAAATTTATAAGGAAGGTTAAGGAACTCCGACGTGTTTGCAAAGCTTATTTTTATGGGTGTTATCTTGTAAAGTTGGCCTTCAGAATGTTAAAACATCAAGAAAACCCCTCCTGCTCTGGGCTTTGTTTAAAAAGATCAAACCAGAACTCGGATCTGATAAATTTGTTTAAATTCTTGAAGGAAATCTTTGTCAAAATGTTCCCAAATAATTTTAATTTGTGTTAATCAAATGAAACCTCCAAGTTGTGAACTAAATTTCAAAAAGAAGCATTTTGACACATAACTGGCATGATTTCTTTTGAACTTGGTGTAGCCAAAGTGAAACAGGAAGTGAGATCAAAGGAGAACTCTTTAAAAAGAGGAAGTTCCTGCTCTTTGTTTTAAAACTAAATTATTTGAACTCTTCTTCATCTCTCTAATAGAGACTAAAAATAATCTAAACATCAGATTCTTCTCTCCTGTTTGTGCAGAAATGCTCTGTTTACATGCAGGCGTTCCCCTTTGACATCACTTCCTGTTACTCTGCATGAGAATATCGCAACAACTGTTTGTCTCGGCTGCGTGGTTTTTTTTTTTCCATATGTTATTAATGTTATCTTTCCAAAAATACATTCATATTTATTACAAAGATCTAATGTGACTGACACTTTAAGGCTTCACCAACAGATGGTTGTTCACTGACAGGCCGGGGGAACTGAGGCTGTGTTTGTACAAATATGATGACGGAAGTTTAACAGTCAAACTTATTGTTCAGCCAAATATTTAAAATGATTCATTGTAACAAGAAAAATTAACTGTAATCAAATGAGGTGCAACAAAATGGCCACGGGCTTGTCTCTGCCTCCGTTTCATTTTAAACCTGTTGCTGACACAAGATTCTGTCTGGCTGCTTCACACATGATCACAGACCTGCTGCTGCACTGTGGAACCACCAGAATGTGACTGGTATTAGCAGAGACTCAGAGGAGTCTTCAGACCAGTACGAAGGTGGTATCTATCTAAGTTAGAGGAGTCTTCAGACCAGTATGAAGGTGGTATCTATCTAAGTTAGATGAGTCTTCAGACCAGTATGAAGGTGGTATCTATCTAAGTTAGAGTCTTCAGACCAGTATGAAGGTGGTATCTATCTAAGTTAGAGGAGTCTTCAGACCAGTATGAAGGTGGTATCTATCTAAGTTAGAGTCTTCAGACCAGTATGAAGGTGGTATCTATCTAAGTTA